GCCTCATATCGTCATTAGAGGGTCTGTCCGGCCGGGAAATTAAGGTAGAGCGCTCAACAACCAACACATTGAGACCTCTAGTCAATTAGTGGCCCTTTTCTTACCAAAAGGCTCCTGTGGTGCTGGTGCTGCCGTTGGTGGAACTGCGCTTGAGGTTCGGTGCCGCAGACCATCGAGGGCTTTCGTTGGCTACTCGCTGCTGCAGGGAGTGGCGGGCCCCCCACTTGGTGCCGTTGGTGGGCTTGGGTTCCGACGGCAGATTTTTACCAGACTGACTTCCTCTGGACACAGGACACTTCTACGAATCGCACGTTTCTGTGCCTGTGTGCCGGTGGAAAGGCAGCTCCGCTTACGGAGCTTCGTATCCTTTCTTTTCATTCTGCTGGTATTATCGCACTCGTCATACCGCCTGCAGAGATGAGCGTGTGCAGAAACCGCGCACCAGTTAGGCCAGTCGGAGTTATTACCCCTTGGGCCCTTAGCAGTCTGCCAGGACCGGGCCGAGCTTATGAAAAAGTTTCTCAATAACCATCACCAACTCCTCTGGAGACAAAAACCCCTTCTGGCAATCACATCCTGAACTTTCTTTATCGTGACATCAACCCCCAATTTGCCAAGTAGCTAAGGTCAAGAAAAACCTGGGGTTTATTGAGTATAATTCTACATCACCATACACTGAGGCAAAGTATGAATCGGATCGGAACCCTCCGGTCTTCTCGTTGGGGCTGTATCCGAACTTTCTCCAGCGGACCAGCTTCGACGGTCTTTCGCTACTAATCCTGTCTGGGTTAGCTCGATTGGCTCGCACCCGGAGCCATGCAGTGGATCTCTAATCCAATCTGAGCCTCTCATTCGCAAGCAGCGGTCGTCTAAGAGCACGAGAGGAGAAACATTTGACTAAGAGAATTCACCGGCTGACCTTTGTGAATCGAGGCATTTTCTTGGTACTCTTCTCGGTCGAATAGGAACGGCAAGTTGGCCGCTACCTAGTGTACCTAAAGTGCCCGGTTGAAGGACGCTAGATTATTATCAAACCCGAGCGACCCGACACGTCGTATGGCGTACGGAGTAATCAGTGATCTCTCCTTCAGAGACTCTGCTTCTTCCTGTACAGTTGGTTGCGCTGCAATGAATACAACCTGCTAGAAATAAGGACTTCTAGCTGGTGACTGATGACTTAACGTGGGAGTAGATGCATGCACGACATCAGGGACCTCAGCCACGGAATCCTCCCGCAGCTAAAGCTGCCTGGGACACACCTATCGTTAAGTTTCCTTTTTAGGGCCAGCAATCGTTGCCTCTCCGAGCGGACTAGGCCATTAAGTTTCCGGTGCCCGTTTTACAATGCCTGACCCGACGATCGTTACCCTGCACCCTAAGCATCTCCGACTTCACAAAACGATGAACAGCCACTTAGTTGAAACATTAACTAAGCGGCATGTTAGAAAAAATTTTATGCACCATTCCGATCTTCCGAGACGTCCATCCAACACATCATGCCTGTGTACGCCGCAGAGCGGACGTCCTGTCCAAGACAGCCATAAACTACTATAGTCGTAGTAATATTTATCCAAGCCAATCGACTTAGCCGGTCATCAGCCGGTGCCTCATCTGTATCCGCCACGAAGCTGGGGCCGTAGGATTCCTTTCCCGTCTGGGGGATAGCGCCTAGATAAGATTGCTTTGGACGCACGACTCTTTACCGCATTGAGTAAGTCTTCATTCTCTCTCCATCGATCTTACTTTGTAGCTGCGCCAGTTTTTCGAATAGGCTTCACCACCGAAAATAATGGATACTTTTACTGTTTTAGGGGAAGGTTTGCCGGATCGTCTAGTACAAAGTAGTACATAGTAGTGGGCAGCGGCGAGTGATCGATAAAAGTCGCTGATATAGGTGTCTACTTAGTATCCAGTAAGACAACGGAGTACTTCCCTCTGAACTGTCAGGGTAGTCGGCCCACTCGCACTCGACGGTGACATTTTTGGACGCTTTTACGGATGGATGCTGTTTGTTGAGCTAGGGACGTTGATCTGTTGTCATGCCCACAGTACTGTCGCATCAGATAGAAATGAATACGCGTCCTCTCAGCCGTCGCTAAGCACTTAGTCGTATTCAGGTGTTGAAAATGAATCGAGCCGTTGGAATAAATTAATGATGGACCGTTTACTCACCATCCAGACTTCCCTTCGGCTGAGGGTCCTTTCGCTCGGTCGCTTTAGTGCTTGAGCAGCTTATCCCAGCGATTTAGGCCTGGGAGGTCTTACTTTATAGATGATTAGTGTAGTTAATGTGGATTGGGGGTCCGTTTCAACGGTCAAGCATGTGTTGTACTAACACTATAGTACTCTAGGTGGGAAATCATTGATAACACGCCGATACGTATTACTATATAGTCTAGGCTTACGTACGGAGAATTCATATTATTATCAATATAAATTAAGCTGGCGATGGAATAATTGTAGTGTTGCAATGTGTCGCACAAGATCTAGTTGAAGAGCCATATTGCTTCGAGGTTGTACGACAATGATATAACGGTCGCTCGCAAGGAATTACCAGGCAACTTTGAAGATAGTAGCTGAAGGGATAAATAATATCGGGCAAGGTCGGCGGAGTTTGGGATATTGGTACTATGTTTTGTAGTATGATATTGAAATATGAAGACTTCACTTTTTTACTCGTGATGAGCTTTTTATTAATATGGATAGTCTTTCAGAGAATCATGATAGTAGTAATGTTGATTGGTAGGGCTCGTCGTTGTTGTACCATTATCATGAGGGATGGCTAAATATATGTTGCCGCTTCGGTCGGGATTGTCCCTGGAGGTTCATCATTTATTTATTTCTCCCGGGCGATGATTTATCTCGATCGGATGGGAATATGACGATATTTGAAACTTGTCCTTGTTACTATACTGTTTATATTCAAAAGTATGCCTTGGATATGTATATCCCTGTCCTCCATCCTTTCAATACGATGTGATTGTTTTCCATGCACCAGCCCTGATGGCTGTCAAACAGAGAAAGCTGTTTCATCTTCCAAATGTCGCGCGCGTACAAAGAATTATTCCAGCGAAAAAATCCACACACAATTAAACTCACATATGACACTCTGGATTAGCTAGCTAATCTACAATTCGTAGTATACTTGCTTCCGCGATAAGCTCAAAGTAGAGATGCGTCCGGGTCTCCCAGCTGCAGTCTGCAAGCTGCAGTCTGCGACCGACGGAACAGCAGCACGCTATGCCCCAACCAACCTCCCTAGTGGCTTGTTTAGCCAGGAACACCCGGTGGTTTGGTCCCTTGTTTCCCCTGGCTTTCCCTGTTGCAGGTTGCTGACCGGGCGCTTTTCCCTCCACAGTCTGACCAAATAAACTGTTTCATGTTCCTTCACACCAACTTGTTAGATCGCTGATCTGCATCTTCTATAGGATAAGCCGATTAATTATGGCCCTCCTGAGCATGCCCCAACCACATCCGACGAACTGCTCCCACCACTCGGACCAGCGAACCAGAAGTAGGAGTGCAGGGCTGCTCGGCCACTCATCAAGGCGCACTGCCCCCCTTGGCTGCTCCTGGGGAAATGAATTTGTTCGCTTAGATTTAGCAGCACTCGCTTGCCAGGCAGGATGCTGGAGCAATTGATTGCATCGGGATATGGATGATACTTCGCATCTCCGCGAATGTATCTTTATTGTGGGTGTAATAAGAAAATAGAAACTACACTAATCGACGCGACATGAGTTCATCTTGCAGGTCCTGCACCCGATCGGCGCGATGATGCATGACTAGCGACAGCAGATAGGATTGTGCGACACCCCTCGAGAGCTTGGTACACAGGCAGGAGGAGTTACTGAACTGAGTGGGCCCTTCAATATCCCTAATTATACAGAGTTCAGGTCTGTCGACTCACTAGATCTCCCAACAACCAACCACAAGACATTATCAATGATCCCTCTTAAATTCTTTCCCTGAGAGCCATATTATCTGCTGGAATCTATGTTTAGCAGACGAAGAGTGTTACACTCTGAGCGCGAAAAATGGGACCATGGCCATTGTCTGACCCTAGTTTGTGACTGCGCTCAGCTTACATTGCTAGTAGCTTGCCGGGATGGCCAACTTTCCTGATCGGCGGACGGTTCCTTTATAATGTATCTATTACCCCTCCTGCTCTTGAGCAGCCCTTGGCTTGCCCTGCTCTTTCTTTTTGCCACTCCTTTATCACGATCTTCCTTGTCTTTGTGCCTTACGGGCGCCTTTTGACGTCCTTCCGCTCTTTAAAAGTTTTTAAAAGTTGTTTACGCTCTAACATTTCGCAAGATTTGCCATTCTTTTATTTACCTTCTAGTCGATTCGTTCGTTCTTACTATTTGAGACGAGTTCTGGTCGATTCCAGCTGATTGTTCGTGGCAAGGACATGAGTAATGCAACTGAGTACTAAACAGAAACCCTAGATTCCTGGTATCAGTCCCATTCCAAGGAATCAACAAGACAAGTATTGATCGGCGAACGTCACCCTTGTTTATCCTAGGGAAGAGAATGTAAGTTGTTACTCTTCCTTCTTTTCTCTCCCCAGAACGAGCTTGTTTGGTGGTTTTATTCTGCATCAGCCTTCGCCTTAAGCTGCATCCACGCGAAGGCTGGTGGCGAGTGAAGAGCGCAGCCACTGGACTTGGTATGCAAGGGATCCCCTTGCCTTCAGTCTGCCATCTAATTGAGCCCCGATCTTACAGATTGGGCGGCCGAACGCGCTATAACAGTTTGGTGTCCGTTCCAGAGTTTGTCGGAACTATTCCAGATTGCTTTGTCATTGTTGTTGTTATTCCTATTCTTATACTATGGCTGCCACCCGCGTTAGCACTGACTTTCCCTATACCAAGTAGTATTGACGATTCCATCGCAGTGACTTTTCTTCCTTTCGACTTTTCATTCTCTGCTGGTCACTCCTTACTACATTTGATGGCTTGAAGCTTTGACTTATACTTTCGGCGACGCGTGTAGTCGATAAATTCGCTCATTAAACCGTACGCTCGCTACCGCGCGTTTATTCGTCTCTCTCTCGCTCATTTGAAATACCTACTATCAACCATGCGACAAAACGTCGCCCTTGTGGCCTGTTTGGTCGCACTTTCTAGCGTTGCTGATGCCTTTTGGCGTCTCCCTTGTCGTGGACGAAGTGGTGTGGCTCGAATGGACCCCATAATGGCCCCGGGGAAACCATCAGACCACGTCCATGTGGTTCACGGATCAGGAGGTTCGTCCGGCTCCAGTGTGTCTGCATAATGGTGCCTCCGCTAAACCTGGCTTTATAGGTTTCTCTATGTCATCGGGCGAGACAGACCTAAAAAATGCGGATTGTACCTCATGCGGGGTGAAGCAGGACAAGTCGGCTTACTGGGCCCCCGCGCTATACTTTATGCATGAGAATGGCGATGCTGAGCTTGTCAACGAAGTCGGCGGGATGCTTGCGTGAGTGTCGAAGCCAATGTCCAGCGCGGTCATATGCTAACTGACCCGTCACAAGTTACTACTTCCTCAACGGACAGAATGTGACGGCATTCCCTGAGAACTTTCGTATGATTGCCGGCGATCCGTTTCTGCGTAACTTCCCTTGGCCAGTCCCCGATCCTCCCAAGTCCGAGTGGTCTGGCAATCAATCCTCACAGGATGCACTTCGCCAGAAAGCCCTGGGTTTCAACTGCTTGAACTATAACAAATCTCCCGAGCCGTCGCTGGGCCGCCACTTCCTGCCCAATAAGACCTTCATGGATGAGCACTGTACTGATGGTGTCCGATTTGAATTGATGTTTCCGTCATGCTGGAATGGCAAGGATGTTGACTCCAAGGATCACAGGTCGCACATGGCCTACCCATCCCTGGTCATGGACGGGGATTGTCCGGATGGCTTCGAGACCCGCCTTGTGTCGCTCTTCTATGAGACTATCTGGGACACATATGCGTTTAAAGACAAGCAGGGCACTTTTGTTCTTGCAAACGGCGACCCAACTGGATACGGCTATCATGGAGACTTTATCTACGGCTGGGACGATGGGGTTCTTCAACAGGCAGTGAATAATTGCACCAACCTGTCTGGTCGGGTGGAAGACTGCGACTTATTCCATCTTCAGACAGATGCCGAGCAGGCGCAGTGCAACTTCACCATGCCAGAAGAGCTGAAAAGCGAGAACGTGTACCTTCACAAGGGTGGCTTGCCGAATAACATTGCCATCCAGTATGGGCCTGCGTATGCAAGCCCAGTCCGGTATACCAACACTGGCCATCATACTTCGGCAATATTGCCCGAGCCAAGCATTGCTATTGGTGCTTCTCTCGATGGTGCTACTGTTGATCTTGGAAATATCCACATTGGCGTAACACTGGGCGCCCCGTCTACTACTTCTACTTCAACTACCCTCTCGACTTCAACTCTCCCATCCACGGCACAGTCTTCGACCTCGACCACTTCAGCAGCTTCAGCGGCTTCAGCCTACTTTCTCCAAACAACCACTTCAACTACACCAACCACCACCTGGACACCTACTCCTACCACCGCATATGTCGAAGGCGTTGTCACTCAGAAGATCGTGTACGTTGAGCAGGATATCCTCATCCTCACAGATGAAACGGGAGCACCTGTCACAACAGAGACGGGTGGATTGGAGACAGTCTCCACTTCTACATCCACGGTGAACAAGGTTGTATCAACAGTTGTGACTACGCCCACCGAGCCTCCTGCCAAACGTGATGACCATAGCCATAGCCATTCCCGACATGTCTATCGGCGTCATCGTCACGGACATGCCCATCGAAGATGATCCATCTTACATTCTAAAAACGACTGGCGCGTACGATGACAATGCCTATGACATAAGCCCCCAAGCAAAAATCGGCCCTTTAGTCCGGTCTAGCTGGGTTAGGACATCTCGAGCTGGTTCCCTTGACTTCGTTTCTCAGGATGCAGTTTCATTGTTTCGGTTCTCCATGTATGAATGTCTATAACATGTACATATTATTGTTTGTTCCCCCTTGTCTGGAACAGGTGAAAATCGGGCTACTATCTTGGCCTTCTCTTGATGAGAGCTGAGGGAAGTCTTGTCAGATTTGGTGTCAAATATCATGTGGATGAATATGTTCTGTCTATTGCAGTATGCTGCTCTATCTCGAATTAGTCTTAGAGCTCTAATCAGTGGCATTGCACTCATCTTTCAGTGGTAATCGAGTGGGGTGGGCAGTTTGGTCACTAGGTCTGTCAGTGAATATCCCGTTAGCCTACTGACTTAACACTCAGATACGATGGCTAACACTCAGTATGCCTGACCTTTATCTATCTCTGTTCCCCTTAACCACCCATTTCATTACCAATACCTTGCTCTCTCCGATCCAACAATACTCCATCTACCTCACGTTTATCTCACAGATCCCTACGTCAACACAAAAGCCAAACTTCCCTGACATGCCACTCAGAATCACACCCAGCCACAAAGCCGTCTACGTGCCGTCATCCGACACAGCACCCGACTCATCCGACCTGTCCGAGCTATCCGAAGACGACCATCTCGAACCAGACGACTCTGACGACGACACCCTCTTCGACCATACCGGCTACGATATCGGCCCCGCAATAGCCACCAGACATTTAAGTATACACCATTACAATGTGAAGGAATGGGATACTCGAGACGCGTACCGGGAACTGTACAGACATTGGTATGTAAGTTGCTACCATCCACCTCTATTTCCAACCCTACTTACTTACCTCCCCTCCCGCCAGGAAACAAACAATCACCAAATCTTTCGCCGTAGAAGATACCTTCCACCATGAGCTGTCAGAAACCCATAATAATATCACAGTCAAGGCCCTAATCCCCACCTGGCCCGGATATATGGGTTTCATCAGATACAGCAAAATAACAGGAACAGTCACGTTTATTAATGCCAATGCCTACCTTCTTCAATCCACCAATACCCCAGAAGACAACAACACCGACGCCCTCTTCCAATTCCAAAACGACCGACTCAAAGCCATAGCATACGTCCTACTCCTCTCAGGATTCAACATCCAAATCACCTCCCGAAACCATATCTGGACATTCAACCTATCGCTCACTCCAGTTTCCTCCACGTCCCCAAGCAGAAACATTCAAAGGATATCATGTACCGTGAACACCCTATCCCCAACCCACAACCCTATCCCCCGCAACACCCTCACCATAACCATCATCACCTCCCAAACCCTCCAACCACAAACCTTCCGCACCTGGCTCCGCACATCCCTGTACCTAACCAACCCATCCCCATCCCAAAACAAAAACACAATCCCCACCCCCCACGGCACCATCCTCCTCTCCCCCACCAACTCCGGAACCCTCTACCTCAAGGGAATCCTCCTGCCTGAGTGCAACTTTCCCCGAGGAAAATACAAATACGGATATAACTTCAACTACGGGATATCTACGACGAGCGGACGACGACTAGCCAGCCCGTTACATGAGATTGATCTTATCGGCTGTATCTGGGATGCGGCGATTCGCGAGAAGCCCGTGTATGCGGTGCCGAGGTTTGTGGATATGTTGTTGGAGGGTGGGGATGGGGGGTCGTGGGTGGTTGATGTTGGTGGTGGTGGTGGGATGGGTGATGAGGCGGTTGAGGCGGTTTGGTGGGCGATTGTGGTTAGGGGGTATTATTGTTGTGAAGAGGTAAGTTAGTTTCTGAGGGGTTATGATTATATGGTAGAGGCAGGGTGCTGACGGTATAAGTAGTGCAAGGCTGATGAGATTGGGAAGATGCCTGGGAAGAAGGAATCGGTTAAGGTTCCGGTGGGTTTGTGGGGGGCGTTTCGGAGGTTGGGGTTCGTAGGGAGGGTTTGGGAGAGGGATGGGAGGGATTGAGGTGAGTGTTAGGTGGGGTGTGTTGGGTTGGTTATTCTTGGAGGGATTGATTGATGTCTGTGATGGGTTGTATGAGAATGTGAGTAGGTTGGTGTTGTATTGATTTAGGTCAATTGAGTATTATCCAATCCATTACAGCTATATGTACATCCACCTATAGCTAGGTGGTAACCCCCGGTTCAAGCAACTCAACAGCTAATTTACTGGCAAGTTCCAGTGCTGGCGTTCTCCTCTTGCTATAAGACGCATTCATCCCGTTAGCTCTATACAGGTGCCATTGAAGTAGATAGAAGGATACTCACAACGCAGAGTCCACTTTGACAGTTGCCCATGCTTCCGTCCTTGTTGCAGGTTGCGCCGGAGGGAAGCTTTAGGTATTTTTATCAGCACTCATGATCATATCATGTATGGTATAAAGCTGAACCTCAAACACGAGACGTGAGGGGACATACAGTAGCAGTGTTGCTCGCGGAGTTCGCGGCGGGAGAGGCAAGAGCAAGGCCGAGGAAGGCGAGAGTAGCGAAGATGGAGAACTTCATTGTGGCGGATTTGTTTTGTGGTTTGGTTTGTTTAGAGAATGATTTTTATGAGTAGAGTAGTTGGGTTGGGTGGAATTGATGAGTGTGATGGATGGGACAGAGGTAGGCTGGTAGGGGCATTTATATGCTTCTGTGATGCGCGTTCACGTGAAGCGGATAAGAGTTATATTCATATCCTGGTCCAGACCAAACCACAATATTCGGAGTAGGTAGGAGGAGGGTGACAAGATGGTTACGCGCGTGCTGGGGGTGGGGAAGAATGGGTAATGGTTCTGGAACTATTGGGGGTGATCTGCGGAGGATCAAGCGGAGATCATCAGTCAGGGGTGGCTTTCTGTCAGAAGTTAGAATTGTAACCAATGGTGTTCAACGGTTATTGCTTGAGCATGATGTGGGGGATAATGCTTTTGTTATGGAGAGAGAGAGGAAGCATCACGATATGTGGTGTGAAGTAAGTACTTAACAATATAGGTGGCGGTTGAGGGTTACGGGAGTTGTCTGTACCAGGCAATATGGGTAATTTTCTGTCCAATTCGATGCTGCGACTTACTAAGTTTCTATTCAAGGATACACTTACTCAGTACCCAGAATGAGTGAGCCACTTGATGTCTTCCAGCACGATGTTCCCTCCCATCTGGCAATGATCTCCCTTGGCATACATAATCTCTCACGTTGGCTCCACACCCGCTATCCCTAGCGGTCGGATGGGTCAATAGACCAATATCCATGGTCAAATAATTATCCGGGTCATTATTTGGTGTGTAAACTCAATCATATGCTTCTCGGCTAGGGATAACAGTATGACGAGGTGGAGAAGTGTTTGATCGATCGCTCCTGTGATTGCGTGGCTGGAATATTCCATGGATGGCCGCTAATATAGTGCATGTATCCGCCTTGCTCCGATAGGAATAAACACTAATAAAAGCCATAGACTGTTGCACAAGCTTGTGCAACAGCTCCTCGGTAAATGGGTTTGTCTGTCGAGCTGTGTGGCAAGACGGTTCTAGTTACTGTCTCGTTATGCTGGGCTCTCCCTTTCGATGTAGTGTGTCCGCTTCTCGGAATTCCAGTATGCTCGGCACGTCTCGGCAGATGTACTACTATGCCCTTGCCTTCCATGTCTAACTCCAAGAGTGAGGCGGATGTCAGGGAGTAATGATCGACATTTATTGTCACTGCCAGTTCGTCATCGTACAGGCTCGAGCTGTCACTTCCTGGTCGCTCCATGGCCTAGGATCCCTGTGATTCTGTAAGCTTCCGTTTCTCGATAACAAACATGTGTAGTAGATAGCATTACCCTTGCTGTTCCTGCAGGTAAAGCTGTTCAAAATGCCCCCTGTTTTGTAAAGTTTGCACAACTGTAGTCATTAGCCGCCGTTCGCAAAGAGAGCAGATAGATTCCGAACCGGACTGGTCCTGGTAAATGAGATGGTACATTACACGTCAACAATCGGACTACTTGGAGCCATTGCATATAGCTATTAGAATAGCCATTAATTGCTATATAGGCTGTTGGCGTTAGATATTGTGAAACTTTGATTATTAGCCTCTCGGATGTTTTCTAAATCACTAGCCAAAGAGTGACTGCATGTAGCAATTACCAAGGCTTCCGCTTCTTTCGATCTGCAATGAGCCTGTCGCAGACAATGCAAGGTCAATCTCATCAAACACCATTACTGGTCAGAAATATAAGGTTGGCTGTGTATAATGCCAGGATGCTAGATGATATTCGGTTGCTTGGCCGCGCCTGTCATACTATCATCGCGACTATTCGTATCAGCATGCGGCAACTGGAGATGGAGCGCCCATAGAACAAAGACATACTCACTTAAAGATATAGCCAGCTATCATTGGATCTCTACTACTAGTTGTGGTGTGATAATAAAGCATTCAGAAAGAAGTCCAGGTCATGAAATGATGTGCTACGTTGAAGCCAAAGCCGGCATGTCGGGTACCTGCCTTTCCGAACGCCGATGCTGGAGGGCTGCACCTTCCGCTTCCTCTCGCGATAACAGCAACATCCATCCATTTCACCGCCACTACTTTTCCATCCATCCCAACTGGCATCATGTCCTCGGCTACGGATCGCTCCACCCGACCACCCTTTGGGAGTATACGTCGAAGGACGAAAAAAGCGTGCGAAACCTGCAAGCTGCGTAAGCGGAAATGCAACGGCCATGAGCCATGCTCATTCTGCCTCAAATACGAATATGACTGCTCGTACGAGACACAGCCACGGAAGAAGCCATCAAAGCCAAGCATTGCAAGACCCCCGAGCAAATCACGCGAAAGGCCTTCCTCTCCGGCACTCGTGGCAAGGCCTGATGTCAATCAACAGCAGATGGAGGCGAACTCAGGCACGGCATTCCCTCATTTCCTGGGCAAGAGCTTGAACCCGCAGAACCCCCCAAAAGTGCACGGCTTCAGCTGGAACCTAGGTCTTCGACATGAGCCAATACAAGACTTTGCTAATATCACGAGCCTAGTCTCTAAAGATGAAATGAGAGTTCTAGTTGGCCACTATCTCGAACGGATACACCCCGTATATGCTGTTCTCAATCGTGATATGTTAGAGAAGAAGGTCGCCCTGCGCTGGGATGACGCGATCACCTTTGACAGCTATGATCCAGTTCTTTACGGTGTTGCAGCCTTGGGCTCACTCTACTCCGGCGATAAAGGACATAGAAACGAAGAAGCGCTGGTCCACTGTGCAAAGGAAATCCTGGAAGCATCCTGCACTATGATCAAACCACTTATATACCATGCTACTGCATGGGTCTTACGGACCCTCTACCTCCGAAGCACCAGCGGTCCTCATGCCTCATGGATGGCCAGCTGCTCTGCAATGCACATCATCGAAGCAGCAGGGGCGCATCAGGATCCAGGAATGGTCTCCCTGGTGTATTCCGATACAGCAGATGTTGGTGTCGATGAAGAGAGTCAGCGAAGGCTATTTTGGGTTGCGACGGTTCTAAATACGTGGATCTCTTATGAATATGGTAGGTCTCGCGTCATCTTACGAGGCATTTCGTGCAAGCCGCCTGTGCCGCGAGCGGGAGATTTGACCGCGGAACTGGTCTCATTATTCCAGATTTCCGAACAGCTGGAACCCGATCAGAAAAATAGACCGTCAGACCTTGAAGATGTTCTATATCACGTCGGAGGTCTAACCCTTACCCACGATGCCTTAGTCTTGTCCCAAGCTAATCTAGCATTTACGATATACCGCCGTCTCCGGGTAGCTGCTTCCAGCATTTCTAGCGATGTCATAAACTGCATCATCCGGCTAGGTAGTGAAGGGACCGCTGCTGCAGTTCGTATGTCTGAGAAGCGTTCTCCCTGGTGGCATGTTGCCAACGTTCCTTTCCAGTTTCTCTGCATTTTGCTCGCAATAGATTCTAAAGAGTCATTGTCACACGTGAGCCACGCCATGCGCTCATTCAAGACTGTCGGGGCTCACTTTAGTACGCCTGCTGTTCACGTCGCCATAGAGACCGTTGATTCCTTGATCAAGTTATTACAGAGGAAGAAAGAGTGGGAAATCACTCTCCTGAAGGATTCCACCCAGGATCAGGACTTAGGACTATTTGAACGAAACACATCATCTACGGAAGAGTACCGTTCACTATGGCAAGGGGGCTTAATCGATGAACATATCGCAGAAAATTTTGACTGGGATTGGAACGCTTTTTTCGATGCCGAAATATCACTTTTTGACGACAGGGGACATGGTGGGCAGATCCGGTATTAATGACGGTTATTTGGGCCGTCGTGCTAGGGAGATAACCACCATATTTCCGCTTACAAGGTAGAACGATTACTATCAGGATATTACTATCATGTGTCGCTCTGGTACTCGCATGCAATAAATTTGCTTCAGATGGAGACTATCGCTTCGTTGCAAAGCGGAAGTGGAAAAGGCGGGTGGTGCGGAAGAGCGGATACTGCTATACACATGGTATATCTGCAGGAAGAGCAGCTCTGGCTGTTCACTTCAACATACATGCTCTGTGTTAGACCTCTAAATTATCTTGCCAACAAAATGCAGTCTTTTCTTCAATATCGACGTCTGCGCAGACACCTACGCGAAAGCATCAAGATCCATGGCCCTGCTGCCGCTGGAGATCCTGGTTCACAACCGTCTGGGGACATCCTTGAAGACTTCGAAGACGCTCAGTTCGACAGGCAAATTATGACAAACTATTCAAGCACTACTGCTCCTACCTCTTCCTATAATTCCGTCTCGCCGCAAGGAATGCCCGGGGTGGTGCTGCAGAACGGGCGAAGAGTGACTGTGCCAGGCGTTAGCGTCCATTCTGCAACCGATGTTGAACATACCAATGGGAAGGCTATCTTCATAGTGGGATTCGATGGTCCAGACGACCCATTCAATCCGAAGAACTGGCCTGTGAGACAGAAATGGACGACATTGGGTATTGTTGGCACAACGGGTTTTCTTGTGGGGTGGGCTTCTTCCATCGACTCTGGAGTCATCAAGCAGGGAGAAGAGGCGTTCAGGGTCAGTGAAGTGACTGAGTCTCTTGCCACTGCACTTTATCTGATTGCATTCGGATTTGGATCTCTTGTGGCAGCACCTTTCTCAGAAACCGTGGGACGCAACCCCGTCTACCTAGTGACCTTGTCACTTCTTATGGTCTTTATCATGGCCTCTGGTCTGTCTCCAAATCTAGGCGCCCAGTTAGCATTCCGTTTCATTGCTGGACTGTTCGGATGCACGCCGCTGACTACGTTCGGCGGGAGTATGTCTGACATCTTCGACCTTTTAGATCGTACATATGCCTTTCCGGTGTGCTGTGCGTTGTCTTTCTTGGGGCCATTTCTCGCCCCGATGGTCGGTGCGTTCATTGGCCAAAGCCCGGATATCTCCTGGCGCTGGTCAGAGTGGACGTCTCTGATACTCGCTGGGCTTATCACAGCATCTATCTTCTTTCTTGTACCCGAGACCTACGGGCCAGTACTTCTGCAATGGAAGGCTCGCCAACTACGCGCCATCACCGGTGACTCTCGTTTCATGGCCGAGATCGAATTGCGCCAAACTACCC